TTCAAACGATTCTCCTGCCTCAGCTTCCTGAGTAGCTGGGATTACAGGCGCGCGCCACCAAGCCCGGCTGATTTTTTGTATTTTTAGTAGAGACAGGGTTTCACCATGTTAGCCAGGATGGTCTCCATCTCCTGACTTCGTGATCCGCCCACCTCAGCCTCCCAAAGTGCTGGGATTACAGGTGTGAGCCACTGCACCCAGCCCATGTGTTACTTTTATAATTAGAAAAAATTATAATGGCCTGTAATCCCAGCACTTTGGGAGGCGACGCGGGGGGGAGGGTGAATCATTTGAGCCCAGGAGTTCAAGTCCAGCCTGGGCAAAATAGTGAGACCCCTCCCCCCGTCTCTATAAAATATACACACACACACATATATATATATATAACTTAAAAAGGTGTAAGTATTCCACACAGGCTGGGCGTGGTGGCTCAAGGCCTGTAATCCCAGCACTTGGGAGGCCAAGGGCGGGGGATCCGAGGGTCAGGAGATCAAGACCATCCGGCTAACATGGTGAGAACCCCGTCTCTACTAAAAAATATCAAAAAACTAGCCGGCGTGGTGGCAGGTGCCTGTAGTTCCAGCTACTCGGGAGGCTGAGGCAGGAGAATGACGTAAACCCGGGAAGGCGTAGCTTGCAGTGAGCTGAGATCAGCCACTGCACTCCAGCCTGGGTGACAGAGCGAGACTCCGTCTCAAAAAAAAATAAATAAATGAATATAATAATATAATATCCACACAGGTGAGGATTATACTGTGTAGTACACAAACAGACTTCTGCATTCACTTAATTAAAAAAATTTCAAGGCCAGCGTGAGGTGGCTCAGGCCTGTAATTCCAACACTTTGGCAGGCTAAGGCGGGCAGATCACGAGGTCAAGAGATCGAGATCATCTGGCCAACATGGTGAAACCCTGACTCTCCTAAAAAAAAAAAAATACAAAATCAGCTGGCATGGGTGGTGTGCGCCTGTAGTCCCAGCTACTTGGGAGACTGGAGGCAGGAGAATGGGTTGAACCCGGGAGGCAGAACTTGCAGTGAGCCGAGATCGTGCCCTGCACTCCAGCCTGGGCCACGAAGTATGTATACTATTCTGAAAAGTGGGTGTGGTGGACAGTGATTTGAAAGAATCGTAAACAATAAACATTACTTCCTTTTAAAGATCCTTTAATGTTTTTACAGTGGATATGCAATAAATACAAATGGAGGGAAAAAAGGGATGTGAAATTCCTTGGTATTACTGTCATTTTTGTTTTGTTCTACCTAGCAAGAATATAAATTTATTCTCAGAATCCCACTGAAGACACTCATTGACAGAGCCGTTTTGAGGGTGCATGATAGGGATCAACTAACTACAAGCAATGGGCCAGTGACCTGATTTGTAAGGCCCACGGACTAAGAATGATTTTACATCTTTAAAGAAGGGGGTCTGCCTGGGCACCGTGGCTCACGCCTGTAATCCCAGCACTTTGGGAGGCCAAGGTGGGTGGAGTACCTGAGGTCAGGAGTTTGAGACCAGGCTGACCAACATGGTGAAAACCCATCTCTACTAAAAAAACACAATAATTAGCCGGGCATGGTCGTGGGCACCTGTAACCCCAACTACTTAGGATGCTGAGACGGGAGAATCACTTGAACTTAGGAGGTGGAGGTTGCAGTGAACCGACATATATCGTGTCATTGCACTCCACCCTGTGTAACAGAGGGAGACTTCTTCTCAAAAAACAAAACAAAACAAAACACAAGGGCGTCTGGCTGTGTTGCCCTGGCTGGACTGGACTCAAACTCCTGGGCTCAAGAGATCCTCCCATTTCAGCTTCCGGAGTAGCTGCTACTCTAGGTTCGCATTACTATGTCGGGTGGTTTTTCCTTTATAAATGGTTACAAAGGTCATATAAATACCCACATAATATTCTCCATTTTATCCTCTTAAACCGCAAAGGTTACATTATTTACTATCTGACCGTTAAAAAAAAAAATTGGGGGCCCCTTTCTATTCTTTCCCAGACCTCAGCCAGGAAACAAAGCGCCAGGTCCCGGACCTAAACAAGCGCTCAGCCCAGAGAACCATGACTCTGCTGTGGCTCTAGAGCCTGGGGCTGGCTCCCAGCTCACCGTCCAGCCCTCCCTGGAGGCAGCGGGTTCCCCTCTTTCCAGGAGCCGGGCTGAGCGCCGCAGGTGGGGCTGGCTGTGCCCGAGATGCCCCCAGGCCCCTTTCAGAGCGCCCCTGCTGCTCGGGCGACGGCTCGGCGCGGGCAGCCCCAGCGATCGCGTAGGCAGAAGTGCCACACCAGGGCGGCACAGCTCAGCAGGGCCAGGGCCGTGCCCACCCCGACGGCGGCGTGGACCAGAGTGCGGGGGTTGGGCGGCACTGCAAAGCGGCTGCAAGGCCCGAAGGCAGGGATGTCGGCCCCCTCGAGGCCCTCTCTTCCAGCCTCAGGCACGCGGCTTGCCCCAGCCTCGTTAGCGGCCACCACGCAAACGACATAAACGCCCCCTGGCTTCAGCCCCTTCAGTTCGGCTCTGCGGACCGTAGCGTTCAGCGAGGGCCCCTTCTGCGCAGCCTCGCTGCCGTCCCAAAGCAGCAGCCAGTAGTGGAGGACCGGGGAGAAGGGGGCACACCAGTGGACCACTGCGCGGCCCTCTTCGGCCACAATGCTCACTTCTCCCATGCGCGGCGGGTCGGGCGGCTGGGCAGGGCTGGAGAGTCCTGGGCACAGGCAGGCCGCCGGCCCGGCCCTCTGTAGCTCCTTACAGGGCACCTGCAGGTGTCGGCAGTGGTCGTAGTCGCAGGGGACAGCCGGCAAAGGCGGCCACGCCGTCTCAGTCTCATCTTCTTCCTCTTCTTCAAAGTCTTGAGGGGCCAAGGGCTGAGCTCTGGGAACCAAGAAGGTCACGGCCAGGAGCCACAGAAGGCAGGGAGAGCCCAGCATGGAGACTGGAAGGGAAGGAGTGGTTACATAAAGCCTGTTCAGCCCGAAAGCCTGCCATGTCCTCTGTCTGGACAGGAAAATGCAACTGGGGACCAGAAGAGGAAAGAGGTTGGAATGAGGCAGACACACTTATTTGTCAACCAACTTCTGAGTCCAGGCTATGTGCTTGGTTTTAGACAAAAAAGAAAACATGGTCTGACACGAGACAGATGCATGATCAGCATGTGTTAAGTATTAGAAACAGTTAATAAAGTGCTGGGGGAGAGGAGGAAATGATTTACTTAGCCCAGGGAAGAACGGTAAGATATTTGCTAGCTGCCACCCAGAGAAAAGATCTAAGCCAAACAAGTAACAAAGCTGGGAATGCCTATAATCCCAACACTTTGGGGAGGTCAAGGCAAGAGGATTGCTTCAGGCCAGGATTCCGAAACAGCTGGGGCAACACAGACCCCGTCTCTACAAAAAAATATTTAAAAATTAAGTATTAAAAAATTAAAAAATATTAAAAATATAGTCCACATGCACATGGTCCCAGCTACTCAGGAGGATCACTTGAGCCCAGGAGTTCAAGGCTGCAGTGAACCATGATCACCCCACAGCACTCCAGCCTGGGTGACAGAGTGAGACCTCAACTCAACAAAAACATGTATCTGTCAGTGACACAGGCAAAAACCCAGAAATGAGACAGAAGTGAGAAAACAGAACGGTAGAGAGAAATATTGTAAGCACAGCCGCATTTTTTTTAAACAAAAGAGAAAAAAATAGGGACGTTGGAATCCTCCCTCCCCACCTGCTATCTGTGCAAATCCTGTCCAAGGAGTCCTGGTCCCTGCCTGCCCTCCTCCTCCTCTCTGGCCCATAGCAGCTCCTCACCAGTGGGTAGGCCTTGATGCAGCGGGAATCCACCAGCCGATGTCTGTGGGTGTTAAGCTGAGGGATCCCCAAGATCTCAGGCTGTGCTGTCAGGTTGTATCTTCAACTTCAATGCTGTTTGGCTGGAAGCTTTTATAACCTTCGACTGTGATGTCACCACCTAGCTCCCCTCCTCCTCCCCCCACCTCCCCGGTGATTGCCAAAAAAGAGGGCTGCTCCCTTCAGAGGGACTGAGTCACAGGGCCAGGGATCGGGAAAACCACATGCAATGGTTTCAGCTGGAGCCCAGGATGCCTGGGTTCTGGAGGGGAATGGAATGTGGAAAGCAGCCAGGCGCTTAGAATCCGAAGGCTGAAGTCATACGAAGGGACCGGGAGGGGAACATAGGAGGCGGCCACCTGGCTGGTATTAGAGGAAAACAGCTGCGAACAGCACGGGCCTGAGCTGCAAAATGCTGTTTTGGTAAAAATCATACCACATCCATGGCAGTCATTTCCTGTCTTCTGCCTCCCAATGGACAGAGAAAGGGAGGAAGGGAGGGGTATAGAGGGGGCCAGAATGATGTCTCCCAGCTCTCCAGACCTGCCCTACACCAGCCCCCTCCCCTGGGGGAGATGAAAGTCACATGCAGGGAGTAGGAAGCTTGCTAGGGGCCAGGATAGCTTCTCCCTCCTTGGACTTCCTAGGCTTATGAATGGAAACATCTGTGCTTAAAATAGCCCGGGTCTGGAGGCCTTCCCCATGAGCAGCCCTTGACAAGAAGACCTCCCCTCTAATGGTGGAAAGTGAGATATGTCTGGGGGACACAGGGTTTTCAAATGGCCGTGAATCCATTTCAGAGTCAAGGAGGAAGCTGACACAAAATAGTTTATTGAAGGAAAAACGAGGGGAGAGGGGTCAGGTGGGAAAGTGCTGGAATGTGAGGAGTCTGCCCCTTCAGGAACTAGAGCAGGTGGGGCGCTGTCGGAGAGCACCCTCAGCGGGTTCGGAGCTGCCCAAAGTTTCTGGGACAGGGGCAGAAGCAGGAGCAGGAGCAGGAGCAGGCAGGTTGGCCTCCGTCAGCAGAGCTGCATCTTCCCAGGAGCCTGAACCTGGGCCAGGAAAGGGAAAAACAAAATCCCAAATGGGATATTAGATGAACCGGGGGTCCCACCCAGGACACGCTGCAGGATGCCCCTCACCATCACTGGCCTCAGGCTCTAGCTCCTCTTCTCCGCTCAGGGGCTGCTGATCTGGTTTCTCCTCCTCAGACAGCTGACCCTCTGCAGCCAAAAGGGGAACACAGGGGTCAGACCCAGACACTCAAGGAGAAAGCCAAGGAGTCAGGCAGGAGAGAGTGCGGCGGCTGCGCCATACCTGTCCCCGAGGGATCTTCAGGGCTCTCACCATCCTCTGTAACATCTGATTGTGGAGTTGACTCCTCCTGGCCTTCAGGCCCTGTGCCTCAAAAGCAGGAGAGGACAGGTTAGGGTTAGGGTAGCTGTGCCTGGATGGCAGTGTCAACCTCACCTTCCTCACCTTTCCTTTGACCCTTGTCTCAGTCGGTGATACCCTAAGCCTCATACTGGATGAAGCAGGGACTCCCTCTGGTCCAGGCCAGCTCAACCTAGCCCACCTCAACAGCTCCCCAACCAACACCTTTACCTGGCTGATGAGCAGAGATCCTTCGTTGGACTTCCTTCCGGGAATTGTCTCTTTTTCGGATGTTAACCTGTGGAGGAAAAACCACTGAGCAGCAGGGACTGACTTCCCTCACTAACAATCAGGGCCCTCACACCCTAACCCCCAACATACCCCTGACCACCCACAAAGATCAAAGGGACAAAAGGGGGTCCTTGCTCCTTTCCACCTGCAAAGAGAAGCGGTGTCGGGGCCAGATGCCCCCCCACACCCACTGCATGTAGCTGAAGAGCACGATGACGCTGAGGAAGGTGAAGTTGCTGGCGACACCTATGAAGGCACAGGTCATCGGGAAGTTGTACAGCAGGTATCTGAGGCAGGAAGTAGGGACAAGAAGGGAGTAGCAGTTACCAGAGAGCACTGGCCTTCTCATGTCCCAGAAATAATTTCTAGGGTAATTCAAGTGAGTTTGGCTACAGCCGGCTCTGCTGCCCCTGCCTCCCACCCGCACAGTTCCTAGAACCTGCTGTACCAGGTTCCAACAAAGGCCAAGGACCTTGGGAAGTCTCCTGTGGGAGGGCCATAGGCCACAGCTTCAATGTTGTCTGTCTCTCAAGAGTCACCCCAACTCTTGCTGAGCCAACAGTTCAAGACAGTAGCTCTCAACTCTGTCAGCCCATCAGCCTTCCTTGGGGTGCTTTAAAAAATTCTGCTCACAGGCCGGACATGGTGGCTCACGCCTACAATCCCAGCACTTTGGGAGGCTGAGGCGGGCGGATCACAAGGTCAGGAGATAGAGACCATCCTGGCTAACATGGTGAAACTCCATCTCTACTAAAAATACAAAAAAAAAATGAGCCAGGTGTGGAGGGGGGTGCCTGTAGTCCCAGCCACTCGGGAGGCTGAGACAGGAGAATGGCGTGAACCCGAGAGGTGGAGCTTACAGTAAGCCGAGATCGCGCCACTGCACTCCAGCCTGGGCAACAGAGCGAGACTCCCTCTCAAAAATAAATAAATAGGGCCGGGCGCGGTGGCTTAAGCCTGTAATCCCAGCGGTTTGGGAGGCTGAGGCGGGCGGATCACAAGGTCAGGAGATAGAGACCATCCTGGCTAACACGGTGAAACTCCATCTCTACTAAAAATCCAAAAAATTAGCCGGGCGAGGTGGCGGGTGCCTGTAGTCCCAGCTACTCGGGAGGCTGAGGCAGGAGAATGGCGTGAACGCGGGAGGCGGAGCTTGCAGTGAGCTGAGATCTGGCCACTGCACTCCAGCCTGGGTGACAGAGCAAGACTCCGTCTCAAAAAAAATAAAATTAAAAAATTAAAAAATTAAAAAAAAAAATAAATAAATAAATAAAATAAATCTGCTCACTTGGGTGGAGCCCTCAGCCCTGGATTTCTGGGTGGAAGGCAGGGCAGAGGGAAGATGAAAACGGATGATGGAAGGTGGCAGGGGTAAAAAACAAAAATGTAAAATTCTGATGCCTAGACAAGACCTTAACAAATCCTGGTTCAGCTGGTCTGGGTGGGGTGCCCAAGGGTGTTTTTAAAAAGTTCCCCAGGGAGCTGATAGGCCAGTATACAGCAGCTTTGAGACCCTCTGGCCTATGTGAAACCCAACTCAGCTCTGCTCTGTGAACCCATTACCTCTGCTTGGGACCCCCTTGGTGGAAGGTTAGCCCTCATGAGAGTTGCCCAAGGTCCACTCCAGTTGGCCCCTCACCTGAGCCCAGTGAAGTGCGCGTGGATGCGGAGGTAGGCTCCGTACAGCTGGATGCGCTTGCTGTGGATCTCAATGATCGCTCCAGTGGTTGGCACATACTGCGGGGGGGGGTGAGGGCGGCGTCAGGCCAGGGCCCTGCCGCTGGCACTCTTACCCTCCCCATCTGAGCCTCACTTCCAGTCTCTCAGTTGTGATGTCTCCTGAGCCTGGAGGCTCCTCAGGTAGAATCCTGGGCTAATGGGAGGGGCTATCTCCTAGTCATCGTTCACCTCACTCACCGAGTTCTCTCTATAGTCTGCGTAGAGTTCCACCTCCAGCAGCTGCTTCTGCTCTGCAAAGCCAAACAGCAGGAGGCTAGAGAAGACCAGTGTGTCCAGCATCTGGAGCAGGTCTGAGCGGTAATGCAGCATCACCTGCCGGGGGTGGGAAGCAGAGGCTGGGAACAGGTGCGCCAGATCCCCATGACCCTATCTACCCCTCAACCATCCCTGAGTAGTCTATGAAGGTGGCTTCTTCCTCAGGTCCCCGGCTCCCTCACCTTCACTTCCTACCCCTCAGTCTTCATCCAACCATTCCAATTGCTTGAACCTCTCCCCCTACCCAACCACACTCTATTATAGAGCAAAGGCCCCTCCTTCCAAGAAACCTTCCTGGATTAAGCCCAACACTGTCTCTGATCTGCCTTTCCCACCAAGTAGTTCTGTAATCCAGTATGGGATCTAAGTCCCAGTGCACCATCTGAAGCTTTTTTCCCCCATGTAGATGTCAGGAATTTGCTTCATGATGAGGTTGTGTTGTTAATTAATGGAAGAATGGAGTCTTAACATTTATTAGGCCAGGTGCGATGGCTCACACCTGTAATTGCAGCACTTTGGGAGGCTGAGGTGGTTGAATCATTTGAGACCAGGAGTTTGAGACCAGCTTGGTCAACATGGTGAAACCCCACCTCTACTAAAAATACAAAAATTAGCCAGGTGTGGTGGTGGGCACCTGTAGTCCCAGCTACTTGGGAGGCTGAGGCAGGAGAATCGCTTGAACCCAGGAGGTGGAGGCTGCAGTGAGCCGAGATCACGCCACTGCACTCCAGCCTGGGCGACAGAGCGAGATCTCTGTCTCAAAAACAAAAAAAACATTGAACAGCCACTATGTGCTAATAGGAATTTTACATTTCCCCATTGAATCCAAACTAGTCTTGCTATGAGGCAGTTACTATTATACCCATTTTATAATACTTTATACCCAAGAAGTTAAGTCAGGTGACCCAGAGCTAGCTTGTTTCTGAATAAGGACACAAACCCATGTCTGTCTGGCGTTAAAGTCTGTTTTCTGAGAGCAGCTCCACTCTTCAAACTTAACCCCAAAGCTGGGTGTGCTCATGAGATACCTGGGGTGTCTGGCAAAGGTTTCTGGTTTGGTAAGCTGATTCCTTTTCTTTTCTTTTTTTTTTTTTTAAAGACAAAGTTTTGCTCTTGTTGCCCAGGCTGGAATACAGTGGTGCGATCTCGGCTCACTGCAACCTCTGCCTCCCGGGTTCAAGCAATTCTCCTGCCTCAGCTTCCTGAGTAGCTGGGATTACAGGCATGCACCACCATGCCCAACTAATTTTGTGTTTTAAGTAGAGACGGGGTTTCTCCGTGTTGGTCAGGCTGGTCTCAAATTCTGGTCCTCAGGTGATCTACCCACCTCGGCCTCCCAAAGTGTTGGGATTACAGGCGTGAGCCACTGCGCCCGGCCTTGATTCCTTTCTTTATCCTGATGTGTCTGTGACCTCAAAGCCAAGGGTGTTTCCTCCTGTGGAATCCCTACCCAGACATTCTTTTTTTTTTTTTGAGACGGTCTTGCTCTGTTGCCCAGCAGGGAGAGCAGTGGTGCAATCTCGGCTCACTGCAGACTCAACCTCCCAGGTTCAAGCGATCCTCCCACCTCAGCCTCTAGAGTAGCCGGGACTACAGTCGTGTGCCACCATGCCCAGTTAATTTTTTAAACGTTTTTTGTAGAGATGGGTTTCGCCATGTTTCCCAGGCCAGTCTTGAACTCTTGGGCTCAAGCCATCTGCCTGCCTCGGCCTCCCAAACTGCTAGGATTATAGGCATGAGCCACCGCATCCGGCCCCCTACCCATTCTGATCCTGCTATCTTCCTCCACACCTTCTCAGACAGGCCACAAACACTTACCGAACGCGAAGAAGTGGAGATGATTCGGCCACCTCTGGTGTAGCAGGAAATGGTGACCAAGAACATGCCCAAATCTTGATTCACAGGGGACTCCGGCAGCTCAAGCTCTAAGGTAACACGATACGGCTGTCCATACATCAGCACCTGCCGAAGGTAGCCCCCATTTCTTTTAAAAAATTTTTGTTGAAAATGTACTGTCCCTATTCCACCTCCCTCCTAGCCCCCCAACACCCCCAAAT